TGATCTATTGAATGATATATGGGACAAGTAGTATGATACTGGAATCACTTCTTATTTGAAAGCAAAGTCTGTGGGTGTGTATTCTGTGAATTTTCTGAAAATCTAAACCTTAGTAGCTTTTCACGTCTAGAATAAAAGCTCATTCCACTACGGTTTTAACAAGAAATGTACAGTTTGTTTACCGCGATTGTAGTTAATCTTGTGTGTTTGTTGTTGTAATCAAAACTTAAGCATGTAAGCATGAGCCATTTTGACAATGGCGAAAACAGCAACTCTATATCTATCATTAGACCTGTAACAGTTCCAGCTCATAAGTTCAGCTCATTTGAGCGAAAGAACTGTTGAGCAGTTCTTTTGAAAGGAGCTGATATGTTTGAGCAGCTCTTTTGAAAGGAGCTGATATGTTTGAACAGCTCTTTTGAAAGAAGCTGATATGTTCGAACAGCTCTTTTGAAAGGAGCTGATATGTTCGAACAGCTCTTTTGAAAGAAGCTGATATGTTTGAGCAGCTCTTTTGAAATTTTAAAAATTGAAATTTTTTGAAATTTTTTCAACGACTACTGCTAAAGCTTTCATGCTGAAGCAAGAGCTTGCTCAACTCGAAGCACTGGGCGCTCCTGAAGTCCAGGAGTCCAAGAGCAAAGTGTTCTTTTTTGGGAATCACTTCCCAAAAATGAACAGTTTTGTTCTTTTTTGGGAAGTGATTCTCTCTCTCTTCGTTGAGAAAATTTCAAAAAATTTCAGTTTTTAAAATTTTAAAAGAGCTGTTCAAACATATCAGCTCCTTTCAAAGAGCTGTTTCAACATATCAGCTCCTTTCAAAAGAGCTGTTTCAACATATCAGCTCCTTTCAAAAGAGCTGTTTCAACATATCAGCTCCTTTCAAAAGAGCTGTTCGAACATATCAGCTCCTCTCAAAAGAGCTGTTCAAACATATCAGCTCCTTTCAAAAGAGCTGTTCGAACATATCAGCTCCTCTCGAAAGAGCTGTTCAAACATATCAGCTCCTTTCAAAAGAACTTTTCAACAGTTCCTATGATAGGAGCTGATATGGAACTGTCATACCCCTATTCTGGATGGCTCTGCTTCTGAAAGAAAAAAAATATCAAAAGGTGTATCACAAGGATCGGTTATTGGACCTCTACTATTTTTAGTATATATTGATGATTTACCTAATGACATAGAAAGTGTTGTGAGATTGTTCGCAGATGATGTTGTTCTCTTAAATCACCATAAAGATCCGGCTTTCTGCGAGCAAAGTCTAAACCGCGATCTCAAAAATAGAAGAATGGTCAGAGAAATGGTATATACCTTTAAACCCATCAAAATGCGAGTCAATTACTTTTTCTACACGATATTATCATAAAGATACATTATCTTTTAAACCGTTGTTATTGAACGGTTCATCTATCGCAGAAAAAGAAAAAGTAAGATATTTAGGTCTGCTGCTATCCTTCGACTTAACATGGACAAGTCATATTAACAAGATTCTGTTTCAAGTATCTTCTATAGTCGGTATAATGAAATTTTACAAACATACACTACGCAAAATGTCCTTGAGATTATTTATAAGTCTTGTGTTTTATTGGTTTTAAATTATGACTCAATAATTTACTCATTGACTGCAGAAACGAATCTCGTTAAGTTAGAAAGTCTACAGTATCAAGCGGCGTTAACTGTGTCACGAGCTACAAAGGGAAGTTATATGAAATATTAGGATGGATTAATGTAAAGAATCACTTTAAAATTTTGCGCTGACTTTCGCAAAAATCATAGAAGGATTAACACCTCCCTACTTAACTTCCCATCTACAAATTCGCCGACCGAATAGAAGCTACGATTTACTCAACAGTCAACGATCCTTCTTTATAGCAGTAAATAGTACAGATAGAGACTTTTTTTACTGTTATTGCGCGAGAATGGAATGACCTTACATTGAATGACACGAATTTATCAACTATGGAAATATCTAAATTACGCGATACCTTAAAAAATCAGTATATGTCAACGGATGTTTTTTCTAAAAAGCTAAAGTTCTCTACGCGACGGAAGGAAGTGATCTTCATGCGGATAAAAGCAAATTTTCCACCGCTAAATTACTATCTCCACCGGCGTAGTTATACAGTTCCACCTAAATGTAATTTCGGAAACAATAGGGAGGATATCCAGCATTATTTTTTGCACTGTTCCCTATACAATGCTCAACGACAAGATCTTTCACAAAAAGTTTCCTTTATGCCTACTTTCTCAGTCGACACCTTGTTACTGAATGGCCTAAATTCTGATCATGATACTTTAACATGTTTACTGAATACAGTCCTCTTGTAACTTATATTCAACAAACGAACAGATTTGAATAACTGCAGACATAGTAATTTTTATCATATTCATCCTTTCTCTGTCGTTCAGCCTGTCTTCTTAGTCTTCCTGGTTTTCTTTTTTGTTTTTTTTCTTTTTATATTGTTACTCTTTTGTTTTTCTTATCCATAATTACCTTTCTGTGAGCACCTATGGACAACATCTTTATTATTGTTAGGTCCGTCCATAATGGTCTTTGACCGCCGACCTTTCTTTATCAGAATCAATAAAGATATACAACTATCTTATTATGGAGCTATCTTATTGGAGCTACAAAAGTTTATGGCAACTTTTGATAAGAAACAAAACTGTTTTTGCACTTCGTTTCTTGTGTTCTGTTTGAAACAAATAATTATAAAAATATGTTCCCTTATCAACATAATTCATTTAAAACTCAACGGTTATTAGTCTTTTTTATTAGTCGAGTTTTTTTTATTAGTCGAGAAAAAACGCATTTTGGACATAGGTCACTTTTTTCAAGGCAGTTGCCGTGGTGCTTTTATCTCCACAAAAATTCATCAGAAAATTTTGGAAAATGGATCATTGTGAAGAAAATACTTTCTTATACTCATAATGAGTTATATCAAACTATATGTAAGAAAAATTTTGAATGTACAGAGAAAAGTTTATGAAAGTAAAAAATTGAGTGTTTTATGGCTTTGAAGGAAAAACTTTAAAATGCATAACTTTTTGAAGAAAGGTCGTGGAGTACTGGGAGGGGTCTCATTTTGTACCCCACACTTTCCTCTACATTAGGCTATGCTCAGCAAAAAATCCGAAATTTTTTCAAGAACGAGGGGTACCCTTAAATATACACAAACTCCGCGTAACTAAATTCTAGTAGAATTCTAATTCTATTTCTGCCAGAATCTGATCAGTATCTAACTAGAATCTTAATAATACTATGGGCTGAATAAGTTTAGCTAAAAGGTTTAGTTTCCTTTTTTGATCATTACTGCTGCATACTTCTGTTAATCTTAGGAATTTCTATGGGATTGACTCGACACTGCTGCTTGTTCCACCTTAGTTAATTTATTGTCCTTAGTCATTAACCATAATAAATACACTTATTTATTAACAGAATTTATTCAAGCATGTTTCTGGTCGAAAAAAAACAAATCTGTTCTGGGAAAATTTCTTATAATACGAAACACACTAACAATTGTAAAAAGAACTTCATTTTCAGTTTTAAAATAGCTCACAGTTTTAAGGCTAGCAAATGGGAATACAGCTGTATCAATTTCAATTTCAAAGATAACAGGCTCTAACGTTGGACGATCTTCACCGTCACCAGAATACATTAAAACAATTTCA